ATTATCCTGAATTTAATACCTAAAAATAATTCCAAAGCCAAAATCTAATGACTAATGTAACTAAGCAGGAGGACTGAAACAACTTCACTTCATATGGTCTATCCGTTACTTTTAACGGTTGTGTCTCTAATCATCTATAATCTATTGAGAAAGAACTTGGCTGTTCTTAGAGGAGATATTTAGAAATCATTCCACTAAAATATCTACTTGAATTTGAAGATCATAATAATATAGATGTCATAGCATTACCAGCATTGGTCCTGTAGCAGTTCCATTGGTCCCGTCATACTCAGATAGAACATCAAAAGCATGTAGCTTCCAGTCCAAGCTCTGTGTTACAACAACACTCGCCAAACAAACATTGCCATGAACCTGTACCATCCAAAGCTAGTCAAAAAAGTTATCTTGAAAGAGATAAGAGTGGATTAAAGTCCAGCCTTATCAGCAGCTTCTACAGATAAAGTTTAGATCAATGACCCACACATGCAATAGAAAAACCTCAAACCAAGTGCAAGCAATTGAATGGAAACAAATAATATTCAAACTTTACATTCGCAGTGGACTAAACGGAAAGGCTTGCATATTCTTCTCATGCATGCTGGGCACTAAGCATAGTTTCCATAAATGCAATTTATTTCAACATGATTCCAGTCAACATCTTTGTATTTATGTATGCAACAATTGTACAACATTTACAGTGAAAAGAAATTCCAAAGAAACAAATAAAATTTAAAAATAATAGTAATAGGAACAATTAGTCCATATTAAAATGATGACTGGTTTGATTAATATTAAGGGAAACAAAAACTACAAGCACACAATTTGATTCTTTTATGCTACATCCATAGAATCATATTCTGTGACTATATGCAGTCTAAGTTTAAATGTAGAGCAATTTCCCAGAGACATCAGCTGCTAATTGCTCTCACTTGATCAGGATCAATTCAAGTGCAAGAAGAAAATCCTTTGATTACCTTGCAAACAGGGTTCTGTGTGTATAAATGCATGGGTGACCGAATTCACTAATAGCTTAACCCTAAGCACATTATACAAATTGCTCAATCTCTTGACAACATCAGTTAATATATAATAACTGAAACTTTTACCAGCAATCAGGTCAGATAAAGGCTAAATGTACAGTCACAAAATTGATGTCATTTAGAATATTAAATAACTAAGCATTTTTGAAATTTCAGTTACTAAAGATCTAAAATTGCAACCCTAGTTTGAAATACTTACAAGTTTGCAGTCATTATTTAAAAAGCTAACAGCTTTAGCTATTTGGTGCAGCCCCCAGGCATAATACTCATCCCTAACAATAAAAGAAAATCATAATCTAAAATTATTAAGGTTTAAGCAACAAACAATGTTCACGATCTTCTATGTATGATTGCATAAAAAGGGGAAAAATAAATTTCAAAAAGGGCATAATTTAATTCCAATGTTAGAAACTAAAATGTATATTATGCATTCTGCGGATAAGTATAGTTAAGAGGATATACCTTTGTGTACCTTCTAAACCTAGTTCCTTGATCTTCTCTGACAATGGCATAACCGGCTCTGTGACAATATAGATGGTAACTTTTGTACCAGAACCTTCAATAGCTTCAACCTCAGTACTATGAAGAAATGACAAGATATTCGGATGCCTCACCTGTAAAAGGAGCAGAAAACTTATCACAAGTTCCAGAATCCAGCAACTATTCTAAGACAACAGAGACTTTTACCAGCTTTTTGCTTCTAAAGAGAAAAGGCGAAAAGCAAAATGATGTGTTTTGTATAGAAAGCATATGAATTTTGAAGAAATAACAACAAAAAGTCTAATCTTGTTAGTTAGATTACAAATAGACACGAATTGAATGAAACAAATATAGTGAAACTAATAGTAACAAATTTTAGGAATGCAAGTAGCGAAAGCAATAGCGGAACATGGAGAAAACAATTGGAATGCAGGCGATAAGTTTAAGCAGTTACAGTTCGAAGACGCTTGACACCGTTTCGACCAGCAGCTAAATGACCGTCCTGCGGATTACTTCCGGAAAGAGAAAATATAGACACCGGAGATCCATCATCCTAAAAACAATGTGATTAAGGTTGAATTAATTTGATAGAAAGCAGAAAAAGGAGAATCCGAAGAAGAAGAGTGAAGATACAACGTTGGAGGTGCCGCGAAAGTGAGACCAAGAGCCCCAAGCGGAAGGGTAAGGACCCCCGATGTTGTAAGGTAGATCCTTGAGCCCTGTTCCAGATCCGCCAACCACTCCTTTCAAGAAATTGAACATCTTTTTCTTATCTTCCTCTTCTTCTGATGATGATGATGACCATGAATGACCTGAAGAAAGAATAAAGGTTCAATTTTTTTTTTATTGCTAATAGTAATATTCAGGAAATAGACATCGTTTTGATTCTGTGGTTCGCGGTTTCACGACGCTCTCTCCCTGCTTCTCTTCCATCTCAATGCTGCATGCTAGGCCAAATGGGCTCAATTATCGTCCAGTCCATAAGGTTCTCGAAAGATTTAAGAAATTTCTCTTATTTTGTTCCTTGTAATTTCTTTGTTTTGATTTGGGTTCCCTATAAATCTCAAATTGAAAACGTGATCACTCCTACACGTATTATTATCCCCCTGAAAATAACAAATCATTATATTAATACAATGTTGTTTCAATGGCTGTATCATCACAAAATCACAATGAAATTGCTTGGATTAATAGCTAGCATATATTTTTAAAAGCTAGCATTAGTATCAATTACAAGATTATTTTATTCATTTAATTCAATCAAAAAATATTGTATCAATTTGAACTCAATCGAATTTTATTTTTTAAATTTAAACTCGATTCGATACGAAAATCGAATTACTCGAGTTTATTCGATTAAACTCAATTAATATATAAAAATAAATTTAATTTTTTGTTGATTAAAAACTTAATTATTTGTATTAGAATTCGAATTTAAAATATTTTTATTAATTAAAATATATTAAAATATAAAAATTCGATTAAACTTACGAATTATTTAAATCGAGTATAAAAATATTCAAATTTGATTTGATCGATAAGTTAAATTATTTGAACTCAAATTTAATTTGATAATAATCAAATCGAATTTAAATTTGATTCGAATCAAATCAAAATAACTTACGAATATTAATGAATTATTTACGCATCTAATTTCAACTTCATACTTAAACTTGTAACAGTTTGTCACACAAACTTAAAAAGGAAGATGTTATTATCATCTGAAAACCCGTTCCTATTTTTTGGCCAAAAATAAAAAAACCATTCCTATTTAAGCATATGACCAAAGTTTTACTATTCTAACTATACAGTATAAACGTAGCTGATTAGTAATTAAGGTGTTAGGAAGCCACCCTTTAAAATTTCTATACCAAAATAAACATTTTGAGATAAATATATAATTGTAATCAATTTAAACATAAATCTAATCTTATTTATAATATTATTTTAATTTATTTAATAATAATTTTATACATTAAACATGGCATAAGTAACTATAGTATAAAGTGACAAAAACCAGGCTAGGACCAATGCCATGAGATATAAGATATACTGAGTTACATTCCAGATTTAGATGGATCAAACAAATACTAAATATTTCCAATGTTAATATTGGGTTCTTTTCTCTGAAGATATATATTGTTCCTAGTAAAGCGGCGCATGTGAAGTATTTAGTACTGTGGCAATCTAGCAATGCAATATCTCATCCTTGCAGCTGGAGGGCGAACCGTGGTCGTTACAGTGTCACCATCAAACCAAGGAACCTGAAATAAAATCGTAGATAAAATTAATCTTGATACATTAAAAGCATCGATCATTACAAGTCATAAATTCCCTAGTTGTTGGATGCCTACTCCATGTTTGTTTCTTAAGAGCATTTCCCTGCATTCTATCTGACCAGCGGAGCCAACCGGCTGAAATAGTTAAGCCTATTATTGGAATCAAAGGCATAAGGCTTTGTCTGCAAGATCAACATTATTGACTTGCATAAGCATCATTTGGGGTTCATAACTCCCCTTGAGTGCATGTCATGTCATCTAAATGAAAAAAGTTTAGAAAAGATAATAATCCGGTAAATAAGATGTAAGAACTTCCAAACTTTGAGTATTTAGCTCAATCTTGGGTCAAAATCATTAAAAAATTAGTTTGAATCCCTCTTTCTCTAACGTGTAAAAAAAAAAAAAAAGTAAAAACATATGAGTGGTAAAAAAAACACGACAGGATTTGATCAAATAAAAAAAGCCATATCACTTTTTAAAAATTTTCCAAAACATCCCAAAATCTTTATGAGAGGAGAAATTATTAAATAGACCTTTCTTATCACGTAATCCCTTTTAATAATATTATCTTAAAATTTTATAACTTTAATTTTATACAATGAAAAGTAGATCACTTTATTTGACTATTGTCTCTGTATTTAACTTGCCTTTGTGTGATATAATGGGACGTAGGGAATCAGTAATATTGACCTTAAATTCCAGGGGCATGTGCCACGACTCATCATGTGTGTTCTCTGGCATGGTAAACGGGTCAAGACCCATGACGTAAAGGTGAAGGGTTCAAGCCCAAAGGACCACAAATTTTTATTTTTTTTTTAAAGAATGAAATTACTCGTATGTTTGCTTCCTTCCGTCGACCCAAAGCTGAACCCATAAGAGGAAATTTTACTCCAAATTAATACAAAGCCAATTAATGGGCAAATCGAAGAAAATTCTCCCGAAGGCAGTTTCAATGAGGCAAGGTCTAGAGGAAGACTGTCAACTCTCAAAGGGGCCTAGGATGGTTGAAGGGCAAAGGAGACCCAGACTTGGTCATTTTCAAACTTCTTTTTTCTACTTTTCTTGTACCGTGTAGAATTAGTAACGTAAAATACTTTGAAAATTTTTTCCTTGATTTCTTTCTCTCGTATGAACGGCGCAGCAGCTTAGAAACACCCCAAAAAGGTCTGCATTTAAATCCCATTTTAGATTTCCTTCAATTATGTTCAAATCCAAAGAAAAGCAAAAACACCCTGAAACCATGGAAGATACCTTCTCTTTAATCCTTCATGGCTGTAAGTTAGCTAAAGACCTTGAATCGAACCTAGGGAATTTGGCCAACCAGCCAGAGATCCTTTCCAAGTCTTGCGATGATATCATAAAGATATTTGTTACTGCCAAGGAACGTTTAAATGCTCTAGACCCGGCTTTGTTTACTCATCACTTGCTCCGCCAACCTCAGAATTCATCATCATCATCACAGCAGCAGCTGCGGACTGATCCCAATTTGCAGGAATGGTTAATGTATGGTGGTGTTATTACACAAGCAATGGACATGGTTCAGCAGCAGCTTTTTGCTGGAAAAACTCCATTAGAAATCAATGAAATGGGTGGTGTTGGTTCTGCTGCTTCTGCAGAATTGAGGAGCAGCATAGGAGGAGAGATCCAGGCAGTGGACGTATCAAATTCTGCTAGAGCTTCTTCATCCTCATCGCAGCGACCGCGAAGAAGGTTAGAAATTAACTTTCCGAGTTCCATTCGTTTCCATCATTTTTCCTTGAAATTAACTTGAGTAAAATGGAAAATTTAAAAAAAAAAAAGAGCAATTCCATTAGTGTAATACTTTTTGCCACTGGTTCTTTAGAAAGACACCTTTAAATAATTACTTAATAGTTGGGAAAAAGGCAAATTAAAGAACATTTTCCAAGCACTTTCTTGGATATTAGAGTTATTGCTTGTTATTGGTTGCAGCAGGAAGGATGATGAAGAGAAAAACACAATTACAGTAGCGGCTCCTCAGATAGGAAACATTGACGTTCCACCCGAGGATAACAACACTTGGCGAAAATACGGGCAGAAAGAAATTCTGGGTTCAAGGTATCCTAGGTAATTATAACATTACTTAATTACCACTTTCTTAATCCAACCAGACTTATTTGACTTGTTCAAAAATCATATAATGCAGCACCCAGCATGCATATTTCAATTTCATATAATATAATTAAATATTTATATTTGATACATTATTAATATACAGATTTTATATAATATTAACGAATAAAATGATATTATCTCATTAATAAAGTGAATCAGATAATGTCAACTTATTAATGAATAAGTTTTTTAAAATATATTAATTTTTATATATTAATTTTAAGAGTTAATATTTGCTCATTAATAATATGATATTATCTGATTTATTGACAGCACATAGAATCTATATACTAATAATGTATCAAATATAACTTAATAATTAATTAAGCATCACATAAATAAATACCAGTATATATTTATTGTTTTACCTCTATTTTCAAAACTTTGATCAAATATGAAGGTCGCTTAAAATTTGACTTGGTCTTATAAAATTAAGATTTGGTTGCTTAATTCTTAATTCTTAAAATTTCAAATATATATATTGCCATGCGTACTAGCTTGTATATAAACTAGTGGATGCACTTTTTTTATTATAGTTTTATAATTTTAATTTTTTAATTTATTCTATTTATTATATTATTTTAATAAAATAATATATATTCTAATTTTTTAATTATAAAAAAATTTATTATATCTTGATTCTAAAATTTTTATTTTAAAAATGCATATATATGTATAATCTGTTTGATTCATAATGCAAAATGAAGAAAAAATTAAAATGTTTGATTCATGAATTATGAATTATTTAAAGTGGTTGAGTAAATATGTAAAAAATAAAAATGTTTTTCCATGATAAAAATTTTTTATAAAAATTCTAAAGTGGTAGATACAACCATTTTATTTATGATTTATCTTAAAATATTCTTTAAAATATGTATATAACTAGAAATCTAAACCAATAGTGATGATATATAATACAATCAAGTTGAACATCTCTTGAGTTATTTATCTTAAAATAGAAGTAAAAAAAAATAATATTTCTATCATTAGTACCTCGTCAATTGACTCAAAACAATTATTCATAGATCAAGCAAGCTGTGAGATGAGCAATTTTCTCTAAAAATGATAGTACTTATTTTATTATAACCAAATTGTATGATATCAAGAACTAATTCATAACAAAATAAATTATTTTCGAATTATATGAAAATTATGAAAAAATAATATTTCTTAATAGTAGGCTAAAATCAGAAAAAAATACTAAGAGTAAAAAAATACAATTTTAAGAAAAAAGATATTCCAATAAATTATATTTTAATATAAATTTTTTGAAAAACAAAAAAAAAATTAATAAACATATATGAGCATACCATCACTATGAGATAATTGATCAAAATTTCTGAACAAAATATGAAAAAAAAAGTTAATAAATAAGTATTGAAAGAAAAATAAATTGAAATAAATATTAGTTTTTTTATAAGAATAAAATTATGAAAGTAATAGTATACATTTTAAAGAACAGTTGTAAATTGAAATATAATAATGTTGTAGCACATACTATTTATAAGTTTATTGCATGACAAATAAAGTGTATAGATAATTTTCAAATTGATAAATATATTTTGAATCTAAAAAATATAATAAATGATATTTATCATTTTAAATTTTAAATTTTCAAACATATAAATGAATATAAAAAATTTGCGAAAGTAAAATCATCAAATTTTAAGATTTTAAAATTTAAAAAGAGATATATCTACATCACTAATAAAATTAAATTAAATAAAATTAACTTTTAAAATTTTAAATTTATATTGTAATTTACTTTTGTTTTAAATGGATAATTTTATATATTTAATTATTACAAATTTAAATTAACTGAAATAAATGTTAATAATATGAAACCAATACTTAAAAATTTAAAATAAAGAGTTAATGTAAAAAGATATAGCAAAAATTGGAACAACACTTGTAGTAAAAAATAATAGAGAATTAATTATAGATAATATGATAAATTTTTATTTTATATATGTGAATTGATCTTCAATTTAAAATTTGAAAGTTTTAAATAACTAAATAATTTTTAAATATATTTTTTGATAAATAGTCTAAAATTAAAAAATGTGTCATTATAAAAAAAATTTAAGAATTTTCTTAGGTATCCAAAAAAAAAACTATTCACATAATCATTTACATCAACAAATTTTATTCAGTAACCATATATTTTGTAATATAATATTGTATATGATATATGATGTATGATTGCTCAGTTGATATTTGATATACTAGGGTTGACACTTGAAACATACATCTTTAATCGATCTTAAGTGTTGCATGCATGCAGGTAGGCTTTAACAATGAATGAATGACGATTATAATCTTGTGATGAATGTTGACAGCAAGTTAAGGATAAATGATAATGAAATGGGTTGATTTTCAGGGCATACTACAGGTGCACACACCAAAAGTTGTACAACTGCCCTGCAAAGAAGCAAGTCCAGCGGCTGGACAATGATTTTCATACATTTAAAGTAACATACATTGGTCACCACACCTGCCACATGTCATCCACCGCACCTTCAATTCCGCCACCACCCCCAGTAATAGAAACAAGTAGACAAAATCAGATGATGGTTACCGATCAGCCTACGGTACCAACTTCTTCTTCTTCATCAGTTCCTCTAGGTCTAGGAAGATGGCTCTCAATGGAATTCAGCCTGGGCTCGGGGGGAAGTAGTAGTAGCGGTGCAGCAGGTGGCTCCACCACAGGCAACCGATATGGAAGGGATATTGTTGACTATCCGGCAGTGGCGGATATGGCAGATGCAATGTTTAATTCTGGTAGCAGCAGCAGCAATAGCATGGATTTTATTTTTCCTTCCGTGGAAGACAAATGGGAGGCAGGTGCCGGAGACAAGAAAAATATTTGACGACATTTGCTAATTATTCATTGATTGCATGGCGACTAATCTTTCATTAGCTATTGCAATGTGTGCGTATAACATGACCTAGCTGGCTGTTCAGTTTGCTTGAAAGATGAATTTTGCCGCTTCATCCTTTATGGTTTTTAGCATAACAATTTCCACACAATAAACCTGATGTAGTTAGGCTTAGGTTACACAGATTTAATTTGTTGGTCATTTTAAAAATTTTGCTTGATTTTTGAATTTCTTGTAACTTTATGCTTTGGTGGAGCGGCCTTGTAGAAAAAACATTGTAATCCATACCTTTTGCTTAGTAGATGAAAGCCTATAAATAATTTGTTGCTGATCATACATATGCTTCGGTTTTTTTTTTTTTATAACTATTTTTGGATGTATTAATTTTAACTTCCAACTTACCTTAAAACCATGTATTCATTTATAAATTTTTTTACTTTTTTTTTTTTTACAGAAAGCAAAAAGTAAAAAAGCACTAACCATACATAATCTTACAATGTGTTAAATTATTGGAGGAGGAAAGAAAAGTATAAATTATTTATTTACCGGATCTTGATTCTTAATGGGGTATTGTTAAAGTAATTAAATACAAAGGTAAAGGAGGAAAAACACGCACACCAAGCTGGAAAAGGAAAAAGCCCAAAAGCCAATATGAAGGGGAAGGGCGGAGGAAAAGTCCAACAAATTTAAAAGAATTTAAAAAGTGTTTTGATTGGATATAATATTATAACGTATATTTTTCTGAAAAGCTGGTGTGGAGTTGAGGGCTGGCCTTTGTCTCAACCAATTAGCATTTTTTTTTAAATATATTAGATGGGTGTTTGCACGTTGCAACGGGTCAGGATTTTTTTTTTATTTTTTATCATTTTTATTATTGATTTTTTAAAAAATTTTACATAATTTTATATATAAAAAAAAAAAACAAAAGGTCAAAAAGCTTAAAGGTGGATATGTAAATTGACCTCTTATTTTTATAAAATATATTTTATAAAAAATAATTTTTTTAATTTTTGGTTAAAATAATTTATAAACTTTGCAATTTTATTTAGATAAATTATTATATTTTTAATGCATTTAAATAAGTTCTTATTATTTAATTTGCACCTAAAAAATTTTTAAACTTTAATTTGTATCTAAATAAATTCTTAAACTTCTAATTTGTACTTAAATAAATTGCTAACATAAATCATTTTATCATTTGAAATAAAAGCTTATTTAGATAAAAATCAAAGTATGAAGATTTATTTGAATAAAATAAAAAGTATAGGAATTTGTTTAGAAAAAGTAAAATAATTCAAGGGTTTTTTTTTTTAATATTTTAGCCTTTTTGTGTGTAGGACTCATTTAATTCCAAGTTTTTAACAAAAAATAGATAAACTATACAAATATAAAATTAAATAAATAATAAATAAATATATCATAAGACAAATTTTTTATTTTTTTAAAATTGTATTTGTCAGCACTAATTATTTTAGTGTATTATTTCATATTTTTCAGTTTAATACAAATATATTTATAAATATATATGTACTTGTATAAAATAATACTATTAATAATCTACAAAATAAATATACAATATCTTTAAAAATCAAATAAATAAATTTAAAAGTATAAGAAATAATATCATCAATTTATCATGATATTTTTAAACAACTAATATGATAATATGATATTTAAATGAGTATTTTTTTATGTAAAAAATATTAAGATAAAAACAAAAAGATGAAAAAAATTTACATTGATTTTAGGATTGTTAAACTTTAAAAAGAGTACAATTACTTTCTTAAAAGAAATTCAAATACTTATGAATTTTAGTTTGAAAAAAAAAAGTGTAACAAAAAATAAGTTGCAGTAAAAAATAGAGAAACAAAACTTTCAAAGGTTATTTTTTTATTATTTTTATTTTTATTAGGTCAAAAATAATTAAACAACAAAAGATATGTTAAAATTACAAAATATATTTCATATTTACGCACTGACTAAAATGAGCTAATTTATTGAAATTTATCAAAATCAATCAAAACTAACAAAATCAACTGGTATTACTTAATACCAAGTCCAATATGAAAAATCACCTTTAAGTGTACTAAATTTTAGCATAATTGAAGTATACAGGTTAATTTAACAAAAGCTTTAATACATGAATTGCCTTTATTATGGAGAATCCTAGCATATACCTAAATTTATTTTTAAAAATAGTGACCTCATGTCACAACCTATATTAAATTGCTCTTTCTTAAGTTTTATAGTGTGACTTATAATCTTTATTCCTTGATAGTTCGAATAATTTTGTATATCAATTTTATTCTTGCGTAAAGACACTAGAGTACTCTTCCTTTATTCTTCTAGAATCTTTTGAATAGCCAAATTTTATTGAAAAGATCTGTCAACCTTCCTATCCTTATTTCACCAAGCATTTCAAGTCTCAATCGATATTCCATTTGGTCCTACAACTTTCTTTGCTTTCATCATTCTTAAAGCCTATTAAACCTCATGCCTTTTAATATTATGTTTAAATACAAGATTTATATCCTTAAAAGATATGTTAAGCTTACCTATATTATGCTCAAAATTGCTATTAAAGAGATTACTAAAATAATCTTTCCATCATTTCTTAATCTTCTTATTCTTCATTAAAAATCTTTCATTACCACTTTTGATGCATCTTACAATCCTTACTCTTCTTATCATTTATCTTAACAATTTTGAACAACTTTTTTTCTCTATCTTTTGTCTTTAGTTTTTATATAATTCCTCATGAATCTTAGTCTTTGAATCATGAATAACTTTTATGGGGTTTTTTTTTTTGTTGCCTTATATTTTAGATAACTCATCTTGTTCATATTGCTCTTTATATTCATATAATACTCCCGATTAGTTTTAATTGTCATTTTCACATTCTCATTCCACCACAAAAATTCCTTTTCTAATGGTGCACGACACCTGAATTTGCTAAATGTCTCTGTAGCAATCCTTTGAATTTTAGTAAAATTTTTTTCCCATAGATATCATATATACACTTTTAAGGAAATAAGTCGAGCTACTTTCTGCAACTTATGGATAACATTAAGCTTAGATATTTGGATTTGCTTTGTTTTGATGAGTTAGGCCATTTTTTTTTAGTGCAGCAAGTTTGTTTCACATAGTATTAACTGTTTTAATCATGCATTCATGTGGCATTTTATGAATTGTATTTATGTTTAATAAACTTATTTGTCTGTACAACAATGCCATGCTCATTTTATTTTAAATGAATAATTAAAACATGTGTTTATATATTTATTTAGATTAATATTGTTTTAGATTCTGTTATGAATTTGTTAGAGTAGAGTTGTAAGATTGACTCGAGATAAGAAGAATGATGAACAGTAATAAATGGGTTTTTATATGTATGAAAAATTTGAAAAGCTATTATAAAGTATGAATAAATACATGCGAAAAGCCAAGTAGGATAAATGAGTAGTGGAAACATTAAAAATTTAGGCAAATCCATTTGTTTAGTTGTTTAGTTAAGATGAAAAGTAAATGTTAAGTCCAAATTCTGAAGTCTTTTACTTTGAAAGTGAATTATATGATTTAGATTTGACTACACTCTCTTAACATAAAAAACTCAACTATTTCCAAAGGTAATGATCCTAAATCCTAACAATCATTAATATAGGATAGGATTTGAATTTTGAAAGATTTAGTGAGGATATGTATATATACTTATAAGATAGATACATTTAAATATAATTATATGTACATCTCATTATATTGTCAAAATTGTAATTCATAACTTATCTTTTTATAAGATATGCACATACTGCTTATAAGATATATACATCTAATATAATAATATGTACATCTCATCATAATGTCAAAATCGTAATTGATTAAGTTTGTATTCTTATAAGATATAAGTACTTATAGGATATATACATATTACTTATAAGATATATATATATATATATTACTTATAGGATATGTACATTTAGATATACCTTTGTATACATTTCATCATAGTTTAATGTTCAAAATGTAAATAACTTAGTTATAATCAAGTATATTGCAGATTCCCAAACCAAGCTTAAAATGTTATAAGTTTGTCAATATTTAAATTGTTTGACCTTTTATTTCTAAGGTTGGTAAATATTGAGTTTAGGATTGTAATAATGTTTCAATATTCCCACTGAACCTTTGTTTTTGTATTTTTTATTAAAAACAAAAACTAATTTATTGCTTATAGGTTTTATGCAAATGGACATTAACAATTGTAAAGAGCTTCTTTTGTTTTTTCAGACATTGGTTTTTACATAGTAAATCTTTATAAATAAATTCTAATTTATAAAAATAATTATATTAAATATTATTTCGCACATGTATAAAATGTTATTGCTTCAAAATTGAGGTGCATGCTTTTATTGTCGTGCAAAATCAAGATCAAATTACATAGCATGAAGGAAGAAAAATCTTGTTTCGAAGATGGATGCATTTTTTTCGATATTTTTTTTGTAATTAGTTATAAGATGATTCTTTGCATGTTTGTAATGAATGACTCTAATATATTAAATTATGAAAATTGTTTATCGGATATGATATTGATGTTTAATTGTACAACTATAATTACATGTTACTATAAATATGTATATATTTTTCTAAACTAAAAATTTTTAAAATAGCTCATAAACTTATACATGATATTAAAACCCTATATATATATATTATGTTTTTATTATATGTACACAAAAGAAAGCATCGCTAAGCTGTAGTTCACTAATGAATCTACATTTTAACTTTTTGCAACTTGTTATAAAAGGTACTCCATAAACATTAAGAAGTATCATGTTGAACTTGCAACAATTTGTTTGTTTCCCTATTATAAGCCATAGTTATGCATAAAAAGCAAATAGATAAATACAAAAGGGAAGGTAAAAGCAAATTATCTCAATATTACATCATGCATTTTATTCCGATCCTTTACATTTATAAATTTTCTCTCAACATGGAGTATTGACTAATCCAAAGACATTTTAGGCTTATAACCCATCCAAAATTTTTCCTTAAGATGGTTTGTAGGCTACGTCAATATATATTTTCATGATTGAGCCAAAAAAATTTGTAATAGGTACCTATAAAGAAAAAAAGAAAGCAACTTGGTTACATGATGCTTCAATGTAAGGTATTATAAGCAATAGTTTATCATGATAAAAAGAAATAAGAGATTTCAGTTACTAGAAAATAGTGCTAATAATAATAAGT